CTCTAGGCGCACAGGCTTCAGTAGTTGTGGCATGTGGGCTCAGTAGTTGTGTCCCACGGGCTCTAGAGCACAGGCTCAGTAGTTGTGGCGCACAGGCCCAGTTGCTCCACGGCATGTGGGATCTTCCTGGACCAGGGATCGAACCCATGTCCCCCGCATTGGTAGGCAGATTCTTAACCACTGTGCCACTAGGGAAGTCCTGTTTTTGTTTTTGCTTTCTTTGTTTGTGGTTTTGCATTTTCCTAGTGAAGACAGGCATTTTTAAATTTTTATATCTGCATATAAAATGCTTATTGTAAGTAAAACATATAATAAAGATAAACAAACATTAAAATATATATACACATATTTATTTTTCTTATTTTATTACACATTCCAATTATGTTTGTGACCTTTTTCTATTGGGTTGTCTGTCTTCTTTTTATTGACATTTAGGAGTTCATTACATACCCTGGATTCTCATTTTCAATTTTCTAGTCACATACAGTTTATATGGTAACTATTACCATTGGTAAACATAATTTTAACTTTGTTTATACAAATTTATTTTTTCTTTATGGTTTTTGCTTTGAGCATCTTATTTTAGGTCTTCCTTTTCCCTAAGGACATAAAAATGTTTTCTCATATTTTTGTCTGTCTCCGGGGTATTTTTACTCTCAGCTTTCCGAGTTTCAACAGCATCGTTCCCTCTCTGGTGCTGGACCACACATCCTCCCGATGAGGCAGTTTCCTTAGCCGCACGCTCCTCAGCTGGCACTTCTGGGGCTGAGGCACACCCATCGGGTCTGCTGCCCTCATCACCAGCTGCTCACATCCGCCCTGCAACCTCCCAGTGTACCCAAAGTCCCAGCACTTGGTGAGAAAAGTGAGGGAAACATTCTCAGTGGCCCTGCTGCCCACGCCACCCACAGAGCCTGGAAACCCAAGGAGCAGCCCTGGGACTTAAGCGGTAGGAGGTTCATGGGATTCCTAAAAAGCCTTAAAAATGCTTCTCTGGTTTTCCTGGCAGAATAACACATCCCCATATAAATCAGCAGGAGGCGGTGGCAGTGAGGGTTCTGAAAAACCTTGGCAGGTTCCGTCATAGCCAGGGCCATCTTTCCGAGAAGAACTCATGGATGCTGTTGGCTTCCAGGGTGGTACTGAGCCGCCTCCAGACTACAGAATCAACCCACACGACCGTGTCTTCTCCTCCGGGGGCCAGAGGAAAAGTGCCCCACACCCCGAGTGCCTGCCAAGCCCATCAGGGTCCCCCTTCCCTGGAGCCACGCAGGCTTCAGACCACCGCACGTTTTCAGCAGGAGACACCTTCCCCTCTGTCGAAGACCTTCCCCTTTGTCAGAAAACAGCCTAAATTCCAAGACTTCCAGGCCTCAAACAAAAAGGAGCACCAGACTCTCCCTTCCAACAACAACAATCCTCACGGCGTTGGCTTTCATTATCATCCTAGTTTGCAGGACGGCTGCTATACCTCCAGATGGCAAGCCAGAATTCCAGGAGAGAAGGTGGGGAAAGGGTAAATAGGTAAAGAGGAATGTCAAATAAGTGCCTTTGGATCAGAAAGTCTAGATGTTTGATTGCATATCATCTGTCAGAACACTGACCGAGGGCAGCAACAGTACCAAAACCTTTCTAGGGCCATCGTGTTTCATCCATTTGGGCTGGAGTAGTCGCTCACCCTCCAAGGATCAAGGAATCTCTGCCACCTAGACAACTGGGCTACTACAGAAGAAAATAAGAGAGAGGAGATGCTGTCAGATAGATAATAGCCGTGCGTGCAACAAGGAGAAATCCGTGGGGAAACAGGACAATGGGAAAGGTACAAAGTCAACAGGGCGGTGACCAGTAGTCTGATCACAACTCCATCAGGCCAGGCGGCAATGGAGGCTTGATGTAGGGAGTGCCCAATGGCTGGGATGTGTTCCCAGAATGTTAGGGATGCCAGGGATGTTGGAATCCTACAGTTACCCAGCATGTTCTACCCAGTGTGGAGCAGAACCCTGGAAAGCTAATGGTGACATGAAGAGCAGAGCCCAACCCATAGAGCAGGGACTGGAAAACTGGAACAGGGTGTGTGGGCCCAGCTAAGTGGGTCAAAGTGCAGGGCTAGGCAGCAGCCTCAGGAGGAAGCTAGAAGGCAGCCAATAAACCAAGGCACAGCTGACTGCATGGCCCAGGCGGACGCAGCATCAGAGAGGAAAGCTGGGACTTAGGAGACAGGCAGTGACCCAGAACTGCCTCCAGGTATAGTCCAGGAATTCTGAGACCAAGGCTCAGAGCAGGACAACTAAGTCTAGCCCCCACCCTGGGGGTGGGGGTGAGTCTCTCTAGTCCACCCCGCCCTTGGTGGACGTGACCAGGTCCTGTCAAAGCTGACCCCAGTTGAGGCAGCATGGCTGGAAGGGGAGCCTGCAGCCTGGGGAAGAGAGGCTAACACAGTCCTCGGCTTCTGCTCACCTCTGCTTGTTCATCAGCCTCCTCTGCATCCAGCCCTGTGATGGGGCAGCCCCACCCTCTCCACCTCCCTGCCCAGGTGCTTCTCTATGTCTGTGGTTCTAGAGGAAACGTCAAGAAGAAGGACCCTCCCTTCTTTGGCTCCCTTCCCGTTCTCTTGACTTGGGTTTGAATTCTACTCAGTTGTGCCAGACTTGGGTACGCTCTGGGTTATTCCTGCCTCTTTCCATCCAGGAGTGGCCCATCCACTAGAGTCCGCAAATTGTCTGTGCTTCAGGCCCCAGCCGGCTGGGCCCACTTCCCACCTGGAATTCTGATTTGCTGCCTGGAGGTGCAACAGCCATCTTGTCAAGCACCTTAATGCATTTATTCACTAAAACAAACTTAAAAACAAACTTCCTCTTGTGACTTTGTCATCTCTTGCATCCTGCAGCTCAGTTTTCACTCTCTACCTCTTAGTCTCCCCAACTTACTCCATCTAACAGAACACAGCATGAGTAGTTATGATGACCATTTACTACAGAACAAGAAACGAGGAGGCACTGTGCCCATGGCCTCATGTATTTTGGAGTTTTCATTCCTAAACAATATAGAATGAAGAGCATCCTCTTGCTAGTAAATTGTCTGAAATTGTTGGAATAAGACATCTTGCTTAGTAAAGACTGCTACCAAGTCAGAGGTCCTGTCCAGAAGTTGGCTTAATATCTTACCCCTCCCCGGCTTTTCCCCGACTTACAAATAAGAACATCATCAATTTCTTGCATCTTTCCTATCACATCCCCCTGCAGCCTTCTCAGATGTAAGCACCATCTGGAATTGTGTTTTTAATCATCTTCTTGTTTTTTTAAAAAAGTAGTTTTATCACAAATCAATGAATTTCTAAACGGTACATTATTTCATTTTGCTTGATTTTTACTGCTCTAATTTAGGTGGTCTCCTGGGGCTGCTTTTTCCATTCTACATGTGTTGGTAAGATTGCTTGGGGCTGCTTTTTCCATTCTACATGTGTTGGTAAGATTGCTTGTGCTTGTTAATTCATTTTCAGTGCTGTTGTTCCTTTTACATTCGGGCAAGAGTGGATGAGAATTACAGCCCTGTTCCCCTGCATTCAGCCTGAGTGGCTTCCTGTCCTCCACGATGGACTTGGCGATGGCTCATCTCATCACACTGCATAGCGTCAGGGTATTTCCCGGCCAGGTAGGTGAGGGCTGCTGCATGTATAATGTTTGCTAGGAGAGACAGGAGCTATTTTTATAAGTCAAAAATGATGTCACTGCTCCTCTGGTTTTAAATAGCTCTGCAGAAAACGGAAACGGTCATGTTTCTGAAGAGTGCATTTAGTGGGTTCTAAAATGATGTCATCACAGCCTACAGACGGGTCTCATGATGAGCCGCATTTCCTTTGATCTTGAATGCATGTGACTGCAGCCTCAAATCACCTTCCATATGGTCTTAATAAACAAACTTCAGCAAGAAACGTGAGTGCCTGTGGCACTACAGGTGTGGAGCGTCATCTGCAACAGGAGCTACAAGATCTGGTCTGGTCCGGAGCCTGCAAGCCATTCACTGTGTGCCTTTGAGTGAGTTTTCCTCTTTGAACACAGTCTGCTCAGCTCTGAAAGGAGGAAGCTGGACCACATGGTCCTTTCTGGCTCCACAATTCTAGCATCCTTTAACTTCGGAAAACTCCAAGAAAGCAGAAACATTACTGGCCGACTCCAGGGTGAGAGAAAGGTTTACGCTGTACTGCCTGTTCCTCGTGCACATTCCCCCACGTGTTCTCAGCAGCCAGAGATGTCTCATCCCTTTACTAACGTACTTCACCAAGCCCGAGTCTGGGTTGGAGGTGGACCTAGACTAGTTGCAGGTGATAGGAGCTTCAGACTGCCTTTCTTCTCATCAAAACAGCAAAATCCTCTGTCTGAGTCCAACCCATCCACATGCATTTTCCAGTAACGAAGGAGCTTTAAGGCTGTTGGCTTCCAGGGTGGTACTGAGCCGCCTCCAGACTACAGAATCAACCCACACGACCGTGTCTTCTCCTCTGGGGGCCAGAGGAAACGTGCCCCACACCCCAAGTACCTGCCAAGCCCATCAGGGTCCCCCTTCCCTGGAGCCACGCAGGCTTCAGACCACCGCACGTTTTCAGCAGGAGACACCTTCCCCTCTGTCGAAGACCTTCCCCTTTGTCAGAAAACAGAAATGAGCTCACGCTGACTCTACAGATGCTAAAATTAGAACGCAAAAGAAATCTCTGCACCTATTTCATCCGTGAGCGTGGTTTTATCTCCAGGATGGAGAAGGAACACACCCTCCCCTCCTTATCCAAGGGGCTCACCTGGGCTCTGCTACACACTGCTGGGTGTGACCTTGGGTGAACCCGCATCCACCCTACAATGAGGGGTTGGGTTAGAGGGTCCTTAAGGTCTACCACCTCTAAAGTCCCAAGATCAGACAGTCTGTCTACAACAAAACAAACAAATGTGGATACCTATTTTTGGAGAAGGTTCAAAGTACAGAAGAAGAAATCTGGATCCAGATGTTACCTTCCTCTGCATCTTGGAGCTTCACTGTGCTTCTGTCCTGTCCTGGACGCCGGCCTCGTGTCTTGCACATCCTGCCAAAGTCAGCACCTCAGTGACGTTGTTCCCATTTCACAGATGAGGAAACTGCATCTGAAATACAGTAGGTCACTTTCTTAATGATTCAGTTACTTGACACACAGCTACTGGACGTCAGTGCTAGGATGCGAGCAGAGGCCTGCTCCACAGTGCGTGCTGTTCAAACACAGCAGAATCCTGCTGGGAGACAAAGCACAGAACTGCTCCGCTCTTCACGGGGTCCGCAAACCGCCTCAGCACAGCCCCTGCTTTGGATGCCAGCATCTCTCCTGTCCTCCCACTTTAAAAGTACAAGGGAAGGACTTCCCTGGTGGCACAGTGGTTAAGAATCCACCTGCCAGCTCTATTTACAATAGGCAGGACGTGGAAGCAACCAAAGTGTCCATCGACAGATGAATGGATAAAGATGTGGCACATATATACAATGGAATATTACTCAGCCATAAAGAGAAACGAAACTGAATTATTTGTAGTGAGGTGAATGGACCTAGAGTCTGTCATACAGAGTGAAGTAAGTCAGAAAGAGAAAAACAAATACCGTATGCTAACACGTATATATGGAATCTAAAAATAAAATTTAAAAAAAGGTCACAAAGAACCTAGGGGCAGGATGGGAATAAAGACGCAGACCTACTAGAGAATGGACTTGAGGACAATGGGAGGGGGAAGGGGAAGCTGGGACAAAGTGAGAGAGTGGCATGGACATATATACACTACCAAATGTAAAACCGATAGCTAGTGGGAAGCAGCCGCATAGCATAGGGAGATCAGCTCGGTGCTTTGTGACCACCTAGAGGGGTGGGATAGGGAGGGTGGGATGGAGGGAGATGCAAGAGGGAAGAGATATGGGGATATATGTATATGTATGGCTGATTCATTTTGTTATACAGCAGAAACTAACACACCATTGTAAAGCAATTATACTCCAATAAAGATGTTAAAAAAAAAAAAAGAAAAAGAATCCGCCTGCCAATGCACAGGACATGGGTTCGAGCCCTGGTCGGGGAAGATCCCACATGCCGTGGAGCAACTAAGTCCGAGCAGCACAACTACTGAGCCTGCACTCTAGAGCCTGCAAGCCACAACTACTGAAGCCTGCACGCCTAGAGCCCGTGCTCTGCAACAAAGAGAAGCCACCGCAATAAGACCGCACACCACAAGGAAGAGTAGCCCCCGCTCACCACAACTAGAGAAAGTCTGCATGCAGGAACGAAGACCCAACGCAGCCAAAAATAAAATAAATAAATAAATTTATTTTCTAAAAAAAGTACAAGGGAAGAAGGAGCTGAGGACTCCACACAGAGGGTGGGAAAGCACTGTTCTGCTTACCTTGTTTTATATTCTCTGAGAAAAGGAAGGAAGCCTGCTTGGGTTATAACCCGAGGAGCCACTTTCTTGGCAGTGAGAGCCTCAAGGTAGCCACCAACATGACTTACAAGCTTATGTGAAACAAACGCCAGGCAGACTGGGTGCTTCTACAAAAGTGCAGTGATTCTACGGAAATGCGCTCTATCATTTTCAAAGGACTCATCGCCAAGAAAAGCAGGCTTTGTAATCTACAAGCACAATTATTTTCTCATCGATTCAAAGCAAATATTTTATAGAACGCCTGCTCCCAAACATGAGGAAGCCATACGCTATAAGGGGACCCCAATGGTACGCACAGGATTATGTAAAATGAGACTCCCTTCCTGTAAGTTCGGAAGGTGTACAAGTTGAAAGAACACATGGCTGTCTGAATGCCAATTTGGGGAAACAAATGTCTCCTAGGATGACTCACATTCTGGTGAAAAGTGATGACCAAGTTATGACAGCAGAACAGTGAGTCGAAATTGAGAAGAATAAGAGGCGATGGCTGCCTGCCCTGCTTTCCCTTCCCCTCCCTTGTTCCCCTGTCGTCTGGCCATCACAGACACACAGTAGCGGGCACAGCCGCAGACGCGGGCCTGGGAGGCGGGCCAGGGCTCAGGCCGGGCTTCCAGCGGGTGCCAGACCAAAGCCCAGGGCTCCAGCTGGGATTCTGGAACAAGGCTGAGTGTCATTAGCTGATTTCCTGAAGGCAAAAGCGTCTCGACGAGGTGACAGGAGAGCCAGGTGGCTCTGTCCGTGGAGGCCCGCTGGCGGCCGCTCAGCCTCCCTGGACTCTGGCCAAGGCCTCCAGCCGCCAGCCTGAGGCCCGCGGCCCGCGAAAGGCCGCGGAGGCTGGTGCCGAAGGGCGGGCTTGTGGTGAAGAGGCACTTTCTCAGAAGAGACAACTTCTTGCCCTTTTCTCCCACCCACCCGGGCTCCCTAGTTCAGGCTTTCCTCACGTCCCCTCCCCCCGCCACGCTCAGCCCTCCTCTCCTTCCAGAAGCACGTGCACCGGCGTTGGCAGCGAGGAGAGATCGCCAGGCACACGTGGGGGCTGGAACCCTGACGCAGCCCCACGGAGGACGTGCGCTCGCAGCCGCTCGTTACGCATTTCAGGGCGCGCTCCTCGCTTCCAACAAACAAGGACGGCCACAGCACGAGCTGCGGCCATTCGGTGCGGACCACGGCGGCCTCCCGCGGCCACTGCTGTCCTGGCCGCCCAGCCGCTCCTCCTTCGAAAGCGATTGCACCGCTCTCCGCTCCTCGGCTGGCCCAGTGGCGTCCTCACGGCTGTCCTGGAGCACGAGGGACAGACAGTGCCTGCCGAGGGCTGCCCGAGTCAGAACGGCCCGGCGTTGCCACCTGTGCTCGGCGGCCTGTCTTATCGGCCTGATGCCAGCCAGCTCCACAGGCCTTGGCCCCGTGCCAGCGCCCGTCCAGCTTTATCCGTGCTGCGGGGCCTCCTCTTTGTGATGGAAAACGGTCATAAGCCGGGAGCCACCAGCACACACCTGGCAGGTGTAGTGCATGTGAACGGCCCAGAGCAGGACCTTGTCTGTACTCGCAGGTGCCGGGAACTGTTACTTTCCTAGTTTGTCATTACTTCTTCACCCTTGTCCATGTTCAAATGTCAATGAAAAGTAAATAATAAAGAAAAATAAAAAGAACAAAATGCATTAACCAAAAGCTCCCCTCTTTAGGTGTATCTGCCATGTCTCTTTCGCAACTTACACTCGGTGAAGACAGTGACTGGTTCATTTGGTTTGGCAAACATAGCCATTAATATATTATAAACACTCGGTCTGATGTCAATACGAAGGAGAATTTAGAAACGTCACCTCTACAAAAGAAACTCTTCTAGGTAAGCAACCAGATCTTGTGTTGAGTCAATAACCTGTGGAAACAAACTTTTTAGTAGTACCTGGGCTGAAATTCCAAAATAATATAAATATTGATATATCTCCTGAAATGAAGATTCCATTACAGGCATTCCATTCCAGGCAAAGGCCACGTGAAGCTGAAGGTTGAAAAAATGCCGTAAGTGACAGAGAAAAAGACGTCACTTTCAAGCTGAAATGTGAGGAGAACTTGTCACGGCCCAGAGTCCACATGGTCTCGCAGTTTCAGGGCTAGTGGTGACAGGCACAGGACACGAAGACCACGTGTGATGGGAGTGTGGGGCAGGAAGAAACAGATGAGAAAGAGTTTCAAGAGATTTCCGAAGCTATAACAATTTGAACAACAAAATAAGTGATGATCGTAACAGATTATAACTCATTGAATCAATAGTTCCTGAGTCCATAGCCATGTAAGACACATAAATAAGGAGAAGTGAAAGTTCTTCGTTAAAGTAGAGCGCCAACTCAAAATACAAAATAAAGATGGAAACCTCACAGTGTTGACACTCACACTGAGAGTGCAAACGCAGTGCGCCTAAAGCCCGCTGGAGTCTTCGCACGCATCAACGCACCAGCTGCCAACTGCCAGCAGCCACGTGCCTCCCCGCCAGGCACACACAGTCACGAATAAAGAAACGTTAACACCAGCGACAAGTGATGTCAGTTTCTCTTAAGAATGTTCTAGATAAACTGGTTTAAAAAAAACTATTAATTTTATTAAATCTTGGCCCATTAATACATGTCCTTTTACTAGTGTGTGAAATGAGAAGGCGCGTCTGCCGTGTGCTGAAGGGTGATGGTGTGGGTTTTGTGGGCGGAGCTTGTCAGCTTTCTCATGGACACCAGTTTTACTTGAAAGAACAACTGATAGACAAATATGTTATTCACACATGGGTATTAGGCAGACATTTTCTCAAAAATGGACAAACCAAGCCTGATGCTTCAAGGAAATAACTGAGAGTAAGTGCTGCCAGTGAGAAAATTCAAGCTTTTTAACAAAAACTAGAATTTGGAAAACTTGAATCTGCCACCATGAGCTTGACCGTTTCCCATGACCTAGTAACTTCTGTAATGAGATCAGTGGTGATAGTAACAGATGTGACTTTTCAGTACTGTATAATGAAATGTGTCAACACTTGATAAATTTCACAACTCAAGGATCCAGCATTTTCCAAATGGCTAATGTCACAAAATGTGACAAAATAGTACACAGATAAAATATCTATCCAAACTGCGAGATAGAATAATGGATTTTAATGTAACAGAGTATGAAAATTTAATTGACATGTTTCAAATTCCACATTGCAACTAACCTTTAAGAAACTACTACTGTTGAGTTTTGGTGTAGTATCAAAAAAGAAGACCCATAATTATCCAAAGTGGATATTTAAATACTCCTCCTTTTTGTGGATTTTCTGCAAACATTTCCGCCATAAGACCATACTCCAACAGATCACAGAGGTGTGTAAAAATACGAAACAGAGCCACTTTTCTCACTAAACTTCCTTCTGAAAATATTACTTTTCATGAAATTGTTCATTTATGTTAACATGTATTTGGTTTATTATCGTTATTTTTAAATGAATTAGTAAATACTTTTAAAGTTTCCTACCTCTAATTTCTTCTTCTTTATATATCAATAAATATTGATAGATCTAAAACATATTAACAAAAGCTTTTTGGAGCCCTTAGTACTTTTTTAAGAATGAAAAGGAGTCCTGAAATTAAAAAGCTTAAGAATTGCTACCTTGGGAAAAAGTATGCTCGGGGAAAAGGTGTTTTCTTTCTTGCCGATTCCTCAAAAACATTAAACTGCTAACGAATTGGAACTCTGCAAGGTGCCGGGAGAGAGAGATGGGCTATTTAGCACTGTTCAGACTTACCTGATCCCACAGACACCACTGCACCATGTGGGCATCTCTCCACAGACAAGAGCCCTGGAGACGGGAACCCAGGCTCTGCCATGAACTTGCCGTGTGGCCTCGGTCAAACCCAAACCTAACACCCTGTAACAGTGGCACATCAACATTTCCACTTGCATGTGGCTTTGCACTCCAAATTCATATGTGGAAGCCCTAGCCCTGAATGTGGTAGCATTTGGTGTCGGGGCCTCTGGGACATGACTGGGTTTACATGAGGTCATGAGGGTGGGGCCCTCATGGTGGGATTAGTGCCCTTGTAAGAAGAGACAGCAGAGAGCTTGCTTCCTCTCCCCTACACGTGAGCACACAGCCAGAAGGCAGCCATCTGCCAGCAGGTAGAAGGCCTCACAGGGAACCGAATCTGCTGCCACCTTGATCTTGGATTTCCAGCCTCCAGAACTGTGAGAAACAAACGTCTACCGTTGCAGCCCCCCAAGTGTGGTGTTTTGCAATAGCAGCCTGAGCTGACAAAGACACACACACCTATAACAAGGCGGCACAGCTAAGGAAGGCTGGCAGTGCCGTGCAGTTACGTACATGAGCCCCGTGGTCCCCACTCAAGTACGGCTTCTAACCTGAGCTCCTTTCCAAATGTTTTAAATGTATTTTCAATCAGAATAACACGTACACGTTTTCTAAAAATCAACTAAGGAGAGACACTGATAAAGAAAGCCACTTGTCCCTGCCTGCACCCCTACCCTCAGCCCTGCTCTCCAGAGTAACCTGATTCAATCATTTCTGATTTGGTTCTGTGGTTGCCTCTGAAGTTCCCAATACCAAGCTCACAGAGCTATTTCTGGATTTATCAGCTCTACATATTATCCGCTGTTACGCTGAATGATGGTTTAGTTTGCTTACACCCTCGATATCTTTCCCCATAACACATTCACCTACTACATACATACATATGTATATGAAATATAGGTGTATGATACCTTTTTCAATTTATCTATTTGTGACCTTTATAATTTTTAAATTGTATCTTTATATCTCTATCTCTTTCTTCATTAATTACAGATAGGTGGTATTTCTTTTTTAAAACATCATTGCCAATGCTCATTTATTAATCAAAGTCAAATGGGAAATACATCTGCTCTGATTTATAAATTAAGATTCTTAGTTGTCAGAGATGGTAAGCGTCAGCTGGACATCTGGTTTTCTTTCCATCTCAGTGTTTTTTTAAGTCTACTGCAAAGTGTACATTATCATAGTGGTGTGAGCTTTTGATGACCCATACGCACAGACTGGCCATCTATGGCTCAGCTCTTTCGTGGAATCCTTTGGGCATCTTCACGATATCCATGGTCTGCGTTTTGGAGAAACGTAGGCGTGTACTCCCGGAGCCCCCTTCTTCCAAATCTGTGAAGACGTGCTCTTTCTAGGACTGAGAATTGCTGTCTCCCAGGAACTCTCTTCAGAGCGCTCCTGAGTTGGACCCACTGTTTCCTAGACCCCTCAGCTCCCTTTTTTTATTTTCTCCTTGTGTTTGCTAGAGTACCGCCTTGCACTAGTTTCCCAGGACAGACACAGGAGTTAAAGTGGTTTTACTGTGCTGTTAATGAGCCTATTCCAAGGGCCTGGGAAGGAAGGGCCTTTGCCTTAGAGTCACATGATGGTGTGTTTTTTATAAATTCTTCAAAAATTAGACCCTTCAACAGCAACCGTTTAAGGCAACGTCTCTCTCCCGCCTGCGTTCGGTCACATTCCCCACATTGCTGGGTGGCGGTGGAGCAGCCCCAGCGCGTGTTTGAAATCTGTCTGAGGGGAAGCTGAGTAGGGAACACACTGAGCTGCGGCACCTCCACCCCCATGCAGAGCTGGGTTCTTGCCAAGCCAGAGAAGGAACGGCTTCCACGAGCCACCCCACTCACCGCGTCACCTCTCTCCCCAACAGGCCACGCCCCTGCAGGCCCTGAGGTCATATCCCAATATGAACACGGAGTTTCCTATACTATCAGTAAGAAATAACAAATTTTGACCAACCATAGCAGAGAAAGGACTGAATGCTTCTCTTCCCTCCACAAAAATACTATAAAACTGTTGTCATATGAAGAAGCAACAAAAAAGTACGGGGAAAATATATGATTAAAGTATATGATCAAATCAATATATTATCAGTCAGTGAATCAAATTTTTTCTGGATTTTATAATATTTAAGGCTAATATTTGTATTTAGTTGTGATTTCTCATATGATTCTAAATAACTATTCACTTTGTATCTAATTATATAGTAGTAATTTTTAACGTTTTTCTGAAAGAGAGGCCCCCCAGATTGTACAGGCTTCACGCCCCACCAAACCTAAACCTATCACTGTACTGCAAGTACATTTCCTGAAGCCTTGCAGTTCTGAAAATAACTTGTATTTGATAGATAATGCGGCTAAGTAAAAAATTCTAGTTTGAATTTTTGTTTCTCAGATACCCAAAGGCACTGAATCAGTATTGAGAGTACCATTTTGATTCACTTCCCTGCTTTGGTGGAGTGGGGTGGGAAGCAGGCAGGATGGGTAGTCAGCTGGGCCACATGAAACACAACCACACCTGTTGCTAAAATACAGAAATTCTTTTGCACCAGTTGGTACATGGTCAGCATCCTACGACCCCCAGCCCCAGACCTAGCCCTGGAATGTCCCAGCATCCTGCAGACGCTCCTCCTGGACCTTTAGACCTTTCCACCATCCAAACAGCTAAAGGGCTAATACCCGGTATAGCAAGACCCCACTGGAGAGTTAATTCCAGTGGCATCCATTCTGATGGGCCAGTGCCCAGGCCATACCAAGTGTTAAATATTTTGAATCCTGCCACCGGGTGGTGGGATTTCGTTCTTATTGTTGGTATTTCTTTTTCTCTGGAAGTCATGAATATTTTCTTTTGTCGTATGAGTTCTGAAATTTCACAGTAACGTGGGCTGTACGAGCCTCTTCCCTTTCATTGTGCTGGGTTCTCCACCCTGGAGATGTCCAGTCAGCCTGGAAATTGCCCTGACCCCTCTTCTGCAGGAAGGCTTGCTCTCATTGTGATACAGGGGCAGCCTGCGATGGGAGTTTTAAATTCTTTCCTTAGGGAATTGCCCTGAGGCTGACCTTCCCGTTCACTTCCAGAAAACACTGGGCACAATTAGGCAGGAAGCTGCGTCCTCCCACGGGGCCCCCAGCCCTGCCTCACCTTCACCAGCCACACGCGCTGCCGCAGTTCACACCCACGCTCTTCTCCCTCAGCATCTCTTGCACTGTGGTCTCCTCGCGTCACCGCCAGGGCGTGGGTCCTGTCACTCCTAAAGCATCTTTGTATTTTGCTCTTGCTTCTGACACACACGAGCTCATCCATCACTTTTTTCTTCCAAAATTATACAAAACTGCCCTTTGCATGCAGAATATTGCCTGTAGGAAGTAGCCCCTGTCTGGTGTCTCGATCTGTGTGACACCATCCCCCCCCACACCACTGCTGCCCACACCATCTCCTATTCCAATTCCTGCTCACTCACGGCCTCCAGAAGCTGTGCTCTGCCTGGGATGACCTTTACCCCCCTTCCATCCTGTAGGATTTAACTCACACTCCACCTTCTCTATCAAGTTTTCACAGATGCAACACATACGGCCCTCCCATGCCAAATACACCTCTCACTTAGCCAGGCCCTCCTGAGTGTGCACGTGTAGCTCTTACCTTAGCTGTCTCTCCTGGGTTCCAAGCCCCTGTACCCGGCTGTGAGCACAGTGGGTTGGACATTACATAACAGTTACCGTTCAGTTTGAGAGACTGGGAAGAGAAATGGTTCTGGGAATAGAACGGAACTTCCTTGGGTAACAAAGGTCTAGGAGAGCCAGAGAACCAGAACCTTGCACAATTTTTGTAACAGAGGCCTGATTATATTTTGGGTTTGCTAAGACTTTGCACCTCTGGATTTCAGAGCACCAGAAAAGCTGGATTAGTAAGAGCCTTTTCCTCTGGTTCTACCAGATCAAGTATGATTGCAGAACCGCCTCCTTTCAGTCCATGACCCAAGTTTAAGGTTAAGGGGGGAGGATCAAGCAGAAGGCTCACCCCTCGTCCCACTAAGTGAGAGCAGCACGCAGACCGTAAAAGCAGGGGCTGGCCAGCACCGTCGAGCGCCGTGGCCACCGCTCCCCCCACATGGTTCCAGATGCTTTAGGCCTCAGAACTTGGAGGCCAGCCAAGGAGAGTCTGTCTTCCCACCCCGAGCCCCACCCCCACAGGCAGGAGCCCTTGGCCTGCGCTCTGAACCCTGTCCAAGGGGCTGGGCCCAGGCATGTCTCGTTGTTTTGTCTAAGTTTGATCAGGAATGAGTAGAAGACGCAGCAACGACATTCTGCCCAGACAGAAACATTTGACTCGCTTTCGGAAAAGCAGGAACATGGAAAAGAACTGACTTTCTTCTCCCGCTGGGAATAACCAACCCCCTGCACCCCTCCACCCTGATTTCTGTCTCCTTTGCTCCTCACGTGTTGCTGTCAAGGGAAGTCTCAGAGTTCAGTTATTTTACAGAAGGCTGAACGGAAGGCTCAGTTAAAGATGTGAACACCTAGAAACAAATCAGGTGTCCAAATCTGACCTCTGCTGCCAGTACTCCAATAACCTTTTTTATCAAAACAGTGGAATATTTTAAGAATCAAATTATCAATTATTTTATTTATCTTCTTTGATATGAGAAAATAACAGATGTCTTAAGAGAGAAACTAAAATTTTAAATAGGCCTCCAATCATGGAATTTAAGGTTTTTTTCCAATCATAATATACGTAGGAAAAAATACGATAAAGAAAATTTTTGGAGTTACTTTTCCTGGGTCTCTCCTATGTACACATGTTATTAAACTTTATTTTGAAAAGAAAACTTAAAATTGTTTTCATTTAAATAGAAGTTTTCATCGTCTATCGGGGCCCGTTTTTTCTCTTTTGTGGCACCTGCTGTCCTCAGCACACGACTTTTAACTCTTCCTCCAAGATTGCTGTTCTAATTCCAGCCATAACATCCACATTCCAGGCAAAAAGGAGACAAAGGCAGGAAAGGGTGCGCCTCCTGTCTTGGAGGACGCCTCACAGAAGAGGTGTCCACACTCGCCTGCATCCCCTTGGTGCCCTGTACTCACAGAGCCGCGCTCGCCGGGAGATGGAGATGTTGTGGTGGCCACGTGTCCAGCTAAACACCCTGAGTTCGTTTACTGTAGAAAGCTGGGAGAACAGACATTGGATAGTGCCAACAGCATCTGGTACAGGGAGTAAATCCCAAGGAGAATCCTTTTTAAATCAGCAAAGGGATGAACATGAGGGTACAAATTATGGAGATCACGCTACATAAGAAAAGAGATGGTGTGACGAACTCTGGGAAGACAGGGCTGAAGCCAGCCCAGCCAGAAGGGCCCGGACACACTGCCTTCTAGGTGGAAAGACGAGGCTGCTGACTCCAAGAGGGAGAAAAAGAAAAAAGGTAGAGGATTTTGTAGTGAGGGGGTTTCCATGTAAACTGTCTACACCGCCATTAAGTGTTGACATGGAGTGGAGCTGGACCTGTTTGGGAGAAGAGGTACATCCTGCTTTTTGGGAGGGTGCAGTAAAGCACAGCTGCTGGAAACATCAGAGTTTGTATGTTTTCTTGCAGAGGGTGATGGACACGTGCAGGGAGAGATCCTTGAGTGGAGAGCTCTCTCGAGGGCTGGTCCCCGTGATGAAAACAGGGTATGGAGCATGTCTGCAGCCCACACTGTCCACATGTGTGTTGGGAGATTCCATCTGGTTGGGCACAGGGTTCCCGAACATCCCAGGTGGCTACTGCCCGGCATCCTGGAGGGTGTGGCCGCCGTCCCGCTACAGGAAGCCGGCGGTATGAATCCCCGTACTCTCCACCCCTCCCTCCTGCGCTGAGACACGGGGCGGGGTGCGGGGGGAAGGACACACAGTTCAGAATTACCTTCCTAACTGGCCTTTGTTAACAGTGATGTGAGTCAAAGTTTCCCAGGAAATTGGGGTAGGGTCTTCTTTTGCTATCACCCTACAGAGCTGTTTTCCATTTCTGTCTGTGGTGGATGCTCACGAGTTCCTATGAGAAGGAAGGAAAGCGCGTTTGTGTTGTTCATTGGGCATCGCACAGCCTGAGGGCAGGAACTGCTGGGCTGTGGGGAGAGCGTTCTAGGCGGAAATAACAACACGAGAAAACGGAGTTAGGTAGGCAAAGCCCCAAATCAGGAATTAAGAGCGAAGTGAGGACATGGGGTGCAGGAAAAGGCAAGTCTAGAAGGATCTCAGGCTCTGTTCAGGTGCCTGGAAGCAGCTGCGCTCAAGGGTCTGGGGCTTGTGAAGAAGAACCCGCTGCTTAGCTAACGACGTTGGCCCCAGGGGTGCAGAAGGAGGAGAGCAGGGAAGGAGCGTGGAAACCCCATCACAAATCTGAGACAAGCGTGTCCAGGGCCTCGGAGCCCCACGAGGAAGTCTGCCGTCTGTCTGAGGGACTCGCCTTGGAGCAAGGGCCAAGTCCCTCTAAGGACTGCAAGGTCCCGGGCTGCTCTGGCCTGAAGATTCAGCACAAACACCCCTCTCTTAACCGTCGGCCAGAGGAGGCGGTGCGGTGAAATGCAATCCCTGGGACTGTCTTTGCCTCTGAGAAGCCGGCAGGAAGGAACTGAAGAGGCACAGATAAGAAGTCGCATTTCGGGACTCCCCCCAGCATCTCCTCCACTTCCCCACGGTGGTTACAGGGGAGCTTTCCCACCCAGGCTTCAAATCTTCAAGTGACCTCAGGCATTTGAAAAGTAGCTTTGTATTCCGGTCTGCTGTCCTTTCTGTGAAAGAACTTAAGGCCCACTGGGGTTGGGCTGATAGCACGGAAGTGTCACCATCATGTTTCCTAAGTGTTCTTTTCAAAAGCTGGTATACCTGGATGAGATCCATGAAATTCCATGTATTCCTAGAGATTCTCCCTCACGCTCAAGGGTAAAGCAGCTCTTATTGCCCCACCCATGTCCATGGATCTTACATCAAATGCCTGTGAACCCTGACTGTGGGTCCTCACACCCACTGGGCCGTTTCTCAAAGACCTCAGGAGCTGCCATAGAAAACCTTCTCCTGGCAGCTGCCCTGACAGCTTCCAGAAATGTATATTCAAAAGAGAACCCTTGTATACATGTGCCACATCTTCTTTATCCATTCATCCGATGATGGACACTTAGGTTGCTTCCATGTCCTGGCTATTGTAAACAGAGCTGCAATGAACATTGTGGTACATGACTTTTTTTGAATTATGGTTTTCTCAGAGTGTATGCCCAGTAGTGGGATTGCTGGGCCGTATGGTAGTTCTATTTTTAGTTTTCTAAGGAACCTCCATACTGTTCTCCATAGTGGCTGTATCAATTTACATTCCCACCAACAGTGCAAGAGGGTTCCCTTTTCTCCACAACCTCTCCAGCATTTATTTTTCTAGATTTTTTGATGATGGCCATTCTGACTGGTGTGAGGTGATACTTCATTGTAGTTTTGATTTGCATTTCTCTAATGATTAATGATGTCGAGCATTCTTTCATGTGTTGGTTGGCAATCTGTATATCTTCTTTGGAGAAATGTCTATTTAGGTCTTCTGCCCATTTTTGGATTGGGTTGTTTGTTTTCTTGTTATTGAGCTGCATGAGCTGGTTATAAATGTTGGAGATTAATCCCTTGTCAGCTGCTTCATTTGCATGTGACATATATATACAATGAAATATTACTCAGCCATAAAAAGGAACGAAACTTGAGTTATTTGTAATGAGGTGGATGGACCTAGAGTCTGTCATACAGAGTGAAGTTAAGTCAGAAAGAGAAAAACAAATACCGTATGCTAACACATATATATGGAAACTAAGACAAAAAAAAAAGTCATAAAGAACCTAGAGGTAATAAGACATGAATAAAGACACAGACCTACTAGAGAATGGACTTGAGGACACAGGGAGGGGGAAGGGCAAGCTGTGACAAAGTAAGAGAGTGGCATGAACATATATACACTACCAAACGTAAAATAGATAGCTAGTGGGAAGCAGCCGCATAGCACAGGGAGATCAGCTCAGTGCTTTGTGACCACCTACAGGGGTGGGATAGGGAGGGTGGGAGACGCAAGAGGGAAGAGATATGGGAACATATGTATATGTATAACTGATTCACTTTGTTATAAAGCAGAAACTAACACACCATTGTAAAGCAATTATACTCCAATAAAGATGTTAAAAAAAAAAAAAAGAACCCTCACCTAATCGTGTGACCTTAGAAATGTCACAATTGGAACACTTCACCTTTCAATTCCTCTATCCATCCAAAATTTTTTTTTGAAGATCAACAGTGGTTTCAAAAGTTTGCCTACCTGTCATCAGACTTCAATCCAACTACCTGATACTGGCAGAGTCCCTAGAAAAGACACTGAAGGCTTCTTAAAACTAAGATGTCTTTTCAGGTCCCCTTCACTCGGTCCTCCCTGCAGTGGGTATCGCGCTGGGCATCTTCATGCAGTCTCGTCTTGTTCCCATGACAGCCCTGCAAGGTGGTCTTCTTGCCACCTAACTGAGAAGCTAGAAGATGCAGGGCAGAGTTTCACCCCAGCTGTCTGCTGCCCTGCCCTGGGTGCTGCGTGGAAGCAGTGCCCTGTTTTAATGTGATGCATTGCTCTGGCGAGGGAGTGAGTCCGGCATGTTCCACCTGTTTTATCTCAGCACAACGGGAAGTGAGTTTTTGTGCCTGGATGACAAGGACAGAACATTC